ACCCTAAACCCTAAACCCCTGGAGGTGGCACAGAAGGCGCAGGCTCAGGCACAGGCCCAGGCACCAGCTCCAGCCTGAGTTTCGCGTGGCCTCAGAGGGCGAAATGCCTCGGACTCACTCACTATAGGCCTTAATAGTTATCTATACTACTTTGGGTTTAGGGTTTAGGGTTTAGGGTTTAGGGTTTAGGGTTTAGGGTTTAGGGTTTAGGGTTTAGGGTTTAGGCTTTAATAGTTATCTATACTACTTTGGGGGTTATACTATAAGGGTTTAGGGTTCACGAGTGATCTTTCACCGGATGTGACTTGTCATTTTGACCACATCTGTGGCGATTGTCCTGCAGAATGCAGGTATTTTGGGCAAACATCTTCGAAGTGCTGCCAAGATAGCTTTTAGCGAGGTTTACATCATAACTCCAGGATGCTTGTTGTTTGAAGTTTCATGGTGCCACGCCTGCTGAATTGACACTATCTGGCTCTGATGGGGCTTGCTGAATTAACAGTGAGCCGAGCATGTGAACTATTCCTTGCCGAGTGACTGCTTGACAAAAAAATCGGAGCGGGCTTTTCTCAAAGTTGCCGGAGATCTCTGCCCCAGCTTCCTGCAGTTGCCATCTGAGAACCCTAAACCCTAAACCCAGAACCCTAAACCCTAAATCCTAAACCATCGTTGGGAGCATGGTTCGCCTGTTTCCGGCTTGCAGGTGGACTTACACCGTTGGTGTCGATGGCTGCAAAGACAGCCCTGCTGCTCCCACAGGGCACTGCGAGCTTGAAGCTCTTAGGCGAGATAGGGTTTAGGGTTTGGGTTTTAGGGTTTAGGGTGTCTCGGGTCTGCCAAACTGCACACGGCTTTTCATGGGACCTAGCCGGCTTGACGGCACCTTGGCGCAGCAGGTCATGAACTGAACATCACCCAGCACACCAGCTTGAGCCCGGTGCATCTGCGCGCCAGAGCAGGGTTCAAGGCAGGATGACCACTTGCTAAAATATTCTTATTCTCACGATTATTCCTAGTATTAGCACTTTTGTTTTCATGTCGTTATTACCATGATTATTGTTCTCAGTTATTAGAGGGAAGGCACCGACATCTTAGTCCAGCGCAGGTGTCAGGCGCCGCCACGGCGTTCGTGGCCTACAACGCCAGCGGCCTTCACCAGCTCCAGCACTGGCCCCAAGAGCTTCAGACATTAGTGTCTCAGGAGTCAGTGGTAATAATAGTAATAATCATAGTCTTAGTACTAAGAATATTCATGATAATCATGATAATAATATTGATAGTAAGAAGACTAATGAATATCAGTAGTTATCATAATAATAGTGCTTGCATTTCTGCCGATGTCGAGCTTGGCTCTCTTTGGCTTCCGGCATTGGCTCGCAGTCTTCGCATCCGCGAAGGTTGACCCTGTAGCTGTTGCAGGTACGCGTCTTGTTTATGTGGTGTGCAGTGGACCCTACAAGCAGCACTTCAATTAGCAGTTGGACAGTTGGGCACGCCATCGTCGCATGGCCCGCAATAAAGATTTCTTCCGATCTTGACAGGTAAGCGTTTGTGCAGTTATTTCTCGAACTTGCCATGGCCCTGACTCCTATCCGCATCACCGCGCTGCGGCATTCTGCCTTCTACTCGCCCCTTCTGTACACTATCAAAAGTGGCCTTTTGCAGTCACAGGGCTTGGAGCCACACTATGAGCCGGGGACTCCGAGCAACCCTGCCCTGGAGCAGGCAGAACCTCTTAAGTTTTCTTGTGGGGAGGATGATTGGGAGACTTGGGCTCCTCTCTGGTGCAAGCAGATGCGGTTGAGAGTATCACTTTGTACTTCGCAGGTGAGGAACGGCACTGCCCATCTGTCGCAGCTGGCTGTTGCAGCCAGCTTTGCCGAACTGGAGAAGGGCACGAAGCAACCAGACATCGTCCATTTCGCGCAGATCAATGTGCCTTGCTGATAACGGAAGAAAGCTTTCACAGAGGGAGCTCTAGAAGCTGTTCCTAAACATTCCTGAGCCCTAACCCTAAACCCTGCCGTCAACGCCCCGAGGGCTGCAGGAGGTTTAGGGGGTGCATGTGGGTGGTTGTCAAAATTATGGTCCCTTTTTGGGTCCCTAATATAGTACGGCACCTATTATTTAGGGTACCCAAAAAGGGACCATAATTTTGACAACTACCCATGTGCGTGTTGTGCTGGTTGTTATCCTGCCCCTCAACTGCCTCACAGGCCCGAGACGGCTTCTTCCTCTGCCGGCGTGGAAACGGAAAGGGCTTCGATTGGCGCGAGCTTGAGAACAAAGAGGCCCTGCATATAAGAACATTCATACCAATCATAGCAATAGTAATACTGTAATACGAATACAATAGTAGGAATGACGACAACAACAAGCAGAGTATGATTATTGCTTCCTGCCGACGTCGGTCTCTTGAGCTTATGGATTGATTTTGTTTCTCGGGCTTAGGGTTTAGCCGAGCCAGGGCTTTTGCTTCAGAGGTTTCTCGGCGTTTAGGCTTTGGTTTTGTAGGGCCAGGAGCTTAGAAGCCCACAACGCAGGTCTTGGTCGACCACCTCTTCCAGCCGTTGGCAACGATGAAATATGCTTGTCACCTGAAGCAGCCTGTTTTTGGATTAGAAACAGTGTTTGTTGGTTTAAAGCAGCGTCGTGACTGATTCTGAGTTTGTTGTGCAACAGGAGTCAGTGGGCCTTTTCGTCTAGAAATCAGCCATATGCAAGGATGGGCATGCAGAGAGGAGGAAAACAGAGAAGGGCTTTAAATGCAGAGCAGGAGCCATACACCAACGACGGCAGTGACAACACCACCACTACCAACGGCATCGGCAAAACCAACAACACAAACAGTCCAACGACGAAGCAATCGAAATTACACGCACCCTAAGACAAGCAATGAATATGAGAACTGGCGAGAGCCACAGAAGCCACAAGAAAATGAGACGGGTATTCATTCACTGATAGCAGCACAAAAAACACCTACGCATCAACGTGTGAGGGGGGAAGCAAGGGTTGAGGAAGACTCATTGGCCGTCGATGGACGCTCTGTTTCTTGCATACATATACATCTTTGTATATATATATATATATGTATGTATACTTATAGATACGCACATATACAATTTGTGCATGTAGACATACAGACATATAGACATAACGACATCCAGACGTCTCACATACGGGCATATGTGTGTATTTCTACACATGGCATTATGTACATGTGTGTATACACATATGTGTGCATCTATTTTTAGGACAGTGTAAACAGATAAATATACTATAAGTCAGTCAAATAAGTATTATATGCATATGCGAAACAAAAACATACCCAAAGACATACATAGATATACACATACGTACACTTACGTACACTCTTTCTGTCTATGTGTATATATTTCTATATATATATATACACACACACATAAGGGTCCCGTACCATGCAAGGCCAGCATCATGTGCACAAACCTCTTTGAGTTCGCGCACGTGGTTGGCAACGAGCATGCATGTCTCATTCCCCTACTCTAAACCCTAAAACCGACATTCCCAAAACTTAAACCCGCAAGACTTAAATGCCGAGAACCAATACTTGAAACCCTGAAGCTCGAGACCTTAAACCATCTTAAACCCACACGGTCTGACAAGCCAAAATCGACACTCAGGAAGATCGACTATTCGAGCATTCGGGTCGTGGATGCAGGCTGCAGCATAGTCGGGAGTTTCAGAATAGAGGGCCCCTGATAGAGAGCCACCATCGTAAGAACCCTTCCCAACTCAGTATCCATGGATTCGAGAATCATGTCCTCAGTGGTTGAAGCGCTTCGATGATTTTGGTGTTGCAGGTGATCCTGTGTCCATGGAGCAGGCATTCAGAGATGGCCAAGGGGACTACGTTCACCTGCAAGGTCCAGCTGCCCAGCTACTGGAGCACGACGGTGTAGGCTCGAGTCGACAAGTCATGCGACCCCAGCGCTCAGGGTGTAAGGTTTAGGATAATTCGGCACGAGATTCGTGATAGTTTGGGGTGTCGGGTGAGGTGGTTAGGCACGAGATTCGTGAGAGAATTGCCTAAACCCTAAAACCTAAAACCCCAAATCCCCAAAACCCCAAACCCGAAAAGTGATAGTTGCCTAAACCCTAAAACCTAAAACCCAAAATCCCTATACCCCAAAACCCGAAAAGGCGTTGTGGTGGCGTCCCTGGGGGAAGCTCTTGGGCCCATCGCTTTCAGCTCCCTCTGCGCTCGTCGAAGCTTCCTGAGCTCAGACATGGCCAAAGCCTTTCTAAGGGCATACTGCCTCTCAGCACGGTTTAGGGTTTAAGGTTTTGGGTTTAGGGTTTAGGGTTTAAGGTTTAGCGTTTAAGGTTTTGGGTTTAAGGTTTTGGGTTTTGGGTTTACGGTTTAGGGTTTAAGGTTTAGCCTTTCTAAGGGTTTACCGCCTCTTAGCAGAAAGTGCAGGATACAGTATATCGTAGTATAGCCTTTTCTGTCATAGTTTATTGTAGTCTATTGTAGCGTATTCTAGTATACAGCAGTCTAACATATATACTGTAGTAGAATAAATGGTATGTTATAGATTTTTGTTGCATGTTATAGTCTGTTCTAGCATACTAGTGGTATATTGCCGTATATGATGTTATTGTATTCTTGGCACTTCAAACTGGATTATGCTGGAAAGCATGAGGAGTTTACAATTACAAGTTCAGTGACCCGTCGTGAGACACTTGCCGGCAACCCTTCAGGTGAAGGTTGCCGAGAAACTGCAGAAACATCACCTGAGAATGTGGCAAAGGCGCGCCACCTTGTCTTGCATGGAGTGGGCCGCTTCGATGTTGCTGCGGCAATAGTTCCGTAGTCTGCCGAGCTAGTGTCCCGGTGCCTGAGGGTTTTGGATAGTTATTTTAGCCTGTGCCTCATGCCTGACAGTTGGTCACTCGCCTTTTGCCTACCGTATCTTGCGCTCTGCTGGTTGTCCATATCACTCATTGATTCATTCACTCGCTTGTCTGCTCGCATCCAACCATGCACGATCCACCCATGCACACCTGCTCACCATTGCTCACAATTGCCCACCCAGGCGCATGCTCGAACTCGCACACGTTTACTCTCCTTTCTTTTGTTCTTCTCTCCCTACACCCTAAACCCTAAACCCTAAACCCTAAATGTTCTGCCGCTATCTCACACTCTCACTCCCCCAATCCTTTAGTCTCGCAGCCCGTCTCCCTCCTCTCACTTCCCACGCTCATCGTCGTTCTCTGTCTTGTGTATCCGAGTCTGAAACGCAGACTCCCACTCGTGCTGCCGAACTCGCTCTCACTGACTGGGGGACCACTCTCGCTCATCTCACCGGCTCGCCCTGTCTATTTCTGGCTCTTTCCGTTTCACTATGTTTCTTTCGGGATGCCGGCTCGTGGCTGATTCTCCTGCAAGGTGGTCCAGCCATTTTTCGACGATATCGACTGGAACGTGTTGGTGTCGACAATCTCGACCTACCAGCAGATGCGCTGTTGGGGAGGACAAGTAGGCATAGGGTCTGATACGTATGACAGACTAGTCGAGGCATTTCTCTACGCAGGCGTCATCACACAGCGGCATCCTTATGATGCTGCGATTGCCAGCATTGTGGAATAACAGGCTCCGTCGCGCATCAGAGCTGTAAAAATGGTTCGACATGCAATGCTTGCCTCGTAGTCAAGCCCTAAACGCTAAGCCCGAAGCCCCTTCTTTTCCATGATGAGGTTGGACCAGATGCAGACATTGGGCCAGGTCCTTGGAGAGTGCCACTTAAGCTACTCTTATAGATACAAGCTGGTTTAGGGTTATGGGTCTAATGTAGGAACCTGGTTAAGAAACCCTGGCCCTATAACCCCAATATATTTGAATTCATATATAAAGGCCCAGGGTTTCTCAACCAGATTCCTATTAGGGCTAGGATATCAGCTTGAAGATCAGGCTTCTAGAGTACGGAGTTTAATTTGTACACTATTCGTTGGGACAGAGGACTTCAAGAGCTGGCAAAGGCGAGAAAGGTGAGCGATGAAGTGAACGGTTTAGGGCTTAGGGTTTAGGGTGACTATGAAGTGAACGACTGGCAGACGAACCGGAATGCTTTGCAAAAGTCAGGCTGCGCCACGACGTTTTTGGTCTGCATCTGAGAACTGGCAGTGGCAGCATCGTTGCGCCACATGCACGCCCAGATGTTGCCAGGACCATGAAACCGACTTGCCGGTACAGGTGCTTGAGGTGGGGCAGCAGCACATAAGTTTGTTGGAACCCTAAACCCTAAACCCTAAACACTAAACCCCAAACCCCTAAACCTAAGTTCCCTGTCTCTCTGCAGGCACGCTGTGCTCCGCGCCTGCAACACCTGGATGCATTGGCCCTGGTACTTGCCTTGGCAAGCAGATGTCCAAGCTCCTGTTCTCGCAGGTGCAACTGCCGGAGCAAGATCCCAACGATCTTGAAAACCACCTCCTCCAGGTGACATGCTCTGTGTCGCATGCAATGATACCGAGAGCATAGATCGATAGGCCTTGTGCTGTAGTGAGGAGAGACTCAGTTTTGAGTTTTGATCAACATGAACTACTTGCCGGAATGCTACTTCTGTCGCGAGGGAACGCTAGGCCCTCAAACTTATCCCAAAAAACTCAACTAAAAACTAAACCCTGAAGCCGAAATCGCTGCAATTCTGGACTTCGCGAAGTCAGCCAGAAATTGTTCTGAGCTTATGCCATAGTGTGTCCAGATCAAGAGCTTGCTCGCATTGACCCTCTAGGAGGCATACGGACAATGTGGACCCAACCCACTTGCTTGGGCCATGGTAGTGCAAGTCTTGCCACCTTTGGATACCAGAGCACCTTTGTCTGCTTCTGGAAGCTTTGTATTCAGACCCAACCAAGAAGCCTGAACCTGCCCTGGTGCAGGTGTGTCTGACTGTTTTCCAGCTTCTGCGCAGCACGTTCGGGGATACCGCGGTGCAAGCGCTGGATGGCCTCGTTTCTCGCACAGGTCGGGGCAGTCATTTGACTCGGTTTGCTTCTGTTGGATCATGATCCCGCGAATGATGAGACGAAGTCAATACTAGCTGGTGTGGATGCTTGTTTGATGACATGGTTTAACAGATTTCTTTCGAGTGGAGTTTTGGTGTTTCTGGCAGTAGGTTTATCGACCAAGGATGGCGCAGCTCTATGCCGTGTGGGTTCCTCGTTGTATCGTGGACCCTCGCAAGCCTGTCTCATCTTGTCTCTTATTCCCTTCACCTTCGGTTTTGCAGCCAATAGTTGAGACGACTCTTTGCTCGCAGACCCGATTTCAAGCAGCCTCTGTTGGTCAGTTTTCATGCGCCGAAGCCACGATCATTGAGGGAACTTCACGGAACCGTTGGCAGCCATGGATCAGAGGAGTGCCGATGATTGATTCCTGGTGTTCAACATCCGATCCTCCTAAAACCCTAAACCCTAAACCCTAAACCGTTACTAAACCTTCACTCTTGGCATATCAAGGCATTAGCTGCCCAGCTACTGTGGGTGGGCGGCGCTTACGCCCCTAGGAGTTCGGTACGGCAGCCCGCCTCCTCGCAGCCATGAAAACCCAGCACTCACGCACGTACACGGTACCGGAACACGCCCACCCCCTAAAACAACCATCACCCAACCCGAAACCCACCCTGACAGCCACAGCCCCAAAAAGGGGCCACGGTTTCTCGGCCCAGAGCCTCTGGCCTTTGGGGGCGGCTGAACTCAAAAGACAAGCACACAGAAGAAGAAAAGCCGCGTTCCTGCATGTTTGGCATAAAGGAAAATGAAAGAAATTATAATGACAGAAGTGTAAAGAAAAAAAAATATATATATATATGATATAGCATAAGATATTATATACATGAGTTTAGGCGCACGCCTTAAAAGGACAAGCTGAGGGTGGCTTTGCTGCTTTTTTTACGCGTTGGGTGGGGGAGAGAGGGAACAACCATCGACGGACAAGTTTTGACAGCTGATCGCCGTAGTACGATGTAGTCAGCTTGTACAGCTTACTCGCAATTCCACGACAACCCCTAAACCCCAAACCCTAAACCCTGAACCCTAAACCTAAACTCCAAGCCGTACCCTAAGTCCCGTGGGGTCAGGCCGCAAAATGATGAACGAGATGTTGGAGCGCGCGATATCTCAATCGCGTGCACCTCAGAACTCGATCAGATCAGGTGTCGGGTTTAGGGATTTTACATGGTTTGCGAATTCTGCCGCGTACGTGAAGCTGCCTTGACTCTGGTGCAGCGTTCGCGGCGTGGACGCGGCCGTCGAGGTCTCTTTGTCCTCCCTCGAACTATTCCTCCGGGGAGATAGGTGCCAGCTGTGGCTCGTCACCCTTTCAAGTCCAGTGCCGCAAGATGCGCACAGGTGCCATCGCTGCGCCTGCTGGCTGGGGATCTGGTGTATTTCTCTCGGTGACTGTGGTTTTGTTTCTGGTCCGGGGCCGATTTGCTTCTTGACTCGACGAAGTCGTCGCATAGAGGAATGCCATCCGCTAAGGCTCCATTGCTGCCTTTCTGCGCCTGCTGGCTGACGTCGTGGCTTGACGTCCAAAATAGAAAGTTCCATCTCCATGTCTGTTACTCGCCACTGGCAGATGTCACGAGCCTCTCCATGCATGCAGTTGCTCCTCAGTCGTGATCGTGTGGTGCACGAACTCTTTCCGCTCCGTCTCTCCGGCATCTGGTCTTCCTCGCGCTCATCCCCACGTGCCCTGTCTCCCTAGATGGCTCCAAGGCATGAGAACCTTGAAGGCTCCACTGCGAGCCTCAGAAGGCCGTTTCGGAGCAGTTTTTTTTCTGTAAAGAGACGACATGCTCCGGCTCTGGACAGGCCGATGGAAGCTTCAGCAGATCTCGACCTGCAGGCAGGGTCCAGTCTTGCTCATGCAGTGGTGCTGAAGCTGGGTGACTGCAGAAGAACTTAGGACGTTGCTCAGACACCAGAGCAGTGCTCAAGCTTCGGTTGCAGTCTCAGTGCACGCCTTGTTTTTAGAATGGGCTACGATGGGCTCGATACGAAGTAGAGACGATTCCATCGGCAATCGGGCATGACCGGATATTCTTGCCAAACGGCGTGTTGTCAGCACAACATGCGCACTTGACTTCGGTTCGCAATCTCATGCCTCGTTATTCCAGGAACGAGCTGTGAAAGGTTAAGCCGAGGCAGGTGTTCTCTTCCCTCGGTTCCTGGAGAGTTTCCCTCTCCTTTTCCCTTCTTGTGTCTCATGTGCGAAAGCTCCGGCAGGTTTGGGATGGCAGCCTGGTGTACGCCGCTGAGTTTCAAACATGCAGGCATGAGGTACATTGAGCATCTCAGGTGTCACCGGCCCTTCGGTGGGGCATTCTATCAGGCAGCTAGCAGCTAGCGACTGCCGACGGCTGCCATCCTTCGTTGCATTGTCTCAGTTTGCTCGTCCGAAGGCATCGCTGGTACAACTCTCCTCTTTGTGTACGCGTCTGTGACGCCAGGAATACTACTGTCAGGCCAGGTTGACACGGTTGAGGCTGTTGCCGACCCACGACAAAGTTTGTTGAGCCGTAGCATCCCTCCAGGTAGCTTCACGGCATCTGCTGGTTCATCCGACACCCGGCACATGGCGTCCCTCTCCATGGACAACAGCTTGGCGCATGTCTCAGCCTTCACTACCCCCGAAAATGTGAACAAGTAACTCTGAAGGCTAAACCCCCAAGCGCCAAAATCCAAACCCTAAGCCCTAAACTTCAAAGCCCGGAGCATAAGTAGGACAAAGAGGTTCAAAAATAAGAAGCTTGGAAATCCCAGCTGGGCCTTTGAGCCTCTTGCCCTTCCCGTTTTGATTGAAGCTTCGACAGGACTTACGGAGAGGCACGGGCTTTCAAAACAAGGAGAGACATCCCAAAACTTCAACACTAAACCCCTACTCCGGACGTGGATCTCTGAAGGAAGAGGGGTAAACAACAACAGCAAACCCTATTTGCTGAAACTCCTAGCGAGACGGAAAAAGGGTTTAGGGTTTAGGGTTTAGGGTTTAGGGGCACAACTAAACCCCCAGTAAAGACGCCTCAGGTGCAGACCTGGAGTGTGGGGTGACTTGGATGAAGCTTTAGGGTTTAGGGTTCAG